ACAGTCCACCTGTTTGAAAATCCGCACCCTGGGGCGCAAGGGGGAAGGAACAAGGCGATTACAGACCCAAAGGACCCTACGCTAAACGCTTGCCCCGGAGGGTGTCATTTAATGCCCATAACGACTCTACTAGGAGGGTGTCATTTTCCTCTCCCTTGGGAAGGATCGTAAGTCGTCGGAGTGAATGCTGCAATCACACAGCTACCGGTGACCAGAATCCCGACACCGGATAAACAGAGGGCAGAGCTGAACCACCACGCCCACTTGGCCTCCGCCCTCGGGCCACTGGGAACGACCTGAGAAGCAGGGTCACACGGTCCTCGGGGGACGTCTCTCGGGCGCCGGCGACCTGTGGGGGTCCGCCTTCAGCGCCGGAGTCCGCGGGCTCGGAGACTGCATGATCCTCAGCTTGCTCGTCCATTCTAGCGGGCGCGAAAAGCGGCCCTCCCGGGCCTGCACAACACGCCACAGCGACAGTTGTTTTTCCCGCCACAAAACTGACTCCCGGAAGGGGCGGGAACCAGCAGTCAGGCCACGCCCCTTCCGCCCCACGGTCACGTCTTTCCGCCACGGACTGGGATTACTGGGATTGCAGGGATTGCAGTGTAGCACTTCCTGTTGTCCAGGCTGCACTGGTTGAAATCGTTGCAGGCCGCTAATGAAAAGTTCAAAGAACTGGGGGCCTCCCTGGTGGCGCAAGGGGTCAAGATGCAACCTATGAAGCTAACCGCAGCTACTGCAGCACGAGTTCGATCCCCAGCCAGGGATCTACCCAGATGGTGCAGCAGACCTCTCCTGGCTCGCCTGCTGCTCCCCTAAGCAGTGTGTTTCAGTCAATCTGCCTGTTCTGTTCCCGACCCTGTCTCTGGTGAATCCTTTCACCCCCTGCACCACTGGCCTATACCCCAGTTCCTGTATGCATAAATAATTAAAAAAAAAAAAAAGTTCAAAGAACCAGAAGCGCTATCTCTACGGAACTAGCCACAGGCCTGCAACCATTTAAGCCTCTCCTAGGGTATCGGGAACCGCGCCTGGTGGGGAAGACGGGTCAAAAATGGCCTTAGTCTGGACTGTGAGACCTGCAGTACAAGTTTTTTTGCCCATTTTGGCACATGTTCTAGATCTTCACCTTGGAAAATGGGTGTGTATTGAAGGCTGGTATTGGAGAAACATTGGTGGGTTCTTTAAGGTGACATTTGACCTGAACTCAGGGCTAGACCCCCTCATTTGGCGGAGAAACAAGGGGTTCAGTTCAGAGACATCTGTGGCCTCTCAAGTTTCAAGCAGTATTGTCACTTGAACCTGACTTCCAGCGTGAAATCCCGTGTGCCCCCAAGTGTCAACCTGTAGTTTCAGCTGGTTATAATTGAACTTTACCAGCTGTGCGGTGATTGGGGTAATGGAGAAAATGCAGGGAACCATAAACAATTGATGCATTTGTCGTTTTCCTTTTGGTCGGTAGTGTAAAGGACGCTGTCCTTGCAGCACAAGCACAATCAGTCCGGATTTCTTTTTTGTTTTCAAAGAAGTGACCTCATAGTTCTTTTTTAACTTTTACTACTTTTTCTGGAATGCCTTTAGCATCTCCTATCAATCTCTTCCTTTCAACAGGTCGTTTATCAGGTGTGTACTGGTCAAATGTGGGAAAAAGACAATGCAATAGTTCTCCAGTCTGAGCATGCATCAAAATCATGGGAGGGTGGGCCTCCCTGGTGGCACAAGGGATTAATTAAGCACAGCAGTATGAAGCAATCTGCAGCCTCTGCAGCCTGAGTTGGATCCCTGGTGGGCCAGGGAACAACACACATGGCGCAGCAGACCTCTTCTGGCTCACCTGCCTCTCCCCTCAGTAGTGTACCTGGGTGGATCTGCCTGTTCTGTTCCCTACTCTGTCTCTGGTGAATCCTCTCACCCCCCCTTTACCTCTGGCCTGCACCCCCAGCTCTTGTATGCATAAATAAATAAATCTAAAAAAATCATGGGAGGATGGTTAAAAAATTGCTAGATGCCTCATAAGTTGCTGATTTGCGTTCTATTAAGTTTTCATATGATATTGCTGTTGCTGACTAGGGGCGACACTTCGAGAATCATTCTATTAATATATTTTAACAAATTTTTAAAATTACAGAGTAAAGCAAAAAAAGTGAGGGGAGAGTGAGGAGCGTTTCTTTAAAGAAAATGTCCATTACTATAGATGGGATGATAACTACTATCATGTTACTCCTGTGAGATAAATGATTCAAAGCCTAGTATCATTGATCAATGCAGAGAATGAAAGCAGCAACTTCACAGCAAAGATGTATCTGGTGATTATCACTTAACAAGATGATCAAACTTGGTATCACCAGTAGTCTAACAATCTGATGACTCCAGTATCATGCATTAAGTACACATCACCTATGTTCTAGTCTAAGGTAACTATGAAGAAACAATCACACAAGAACTATAGACAATAATCTGGACAACTCCTCCTAATATTTTTTGAACCATTGCATTGAGGAAATTTGAATATGTTTTGCATATTATATATTTTCCTAGTGTGATAGAGATATTGGTTATTTAGAAAAATAATCTTGATTCTTGAAGTTTGAAGGTGAAATTATCTTGACAGCTGAATTTTACTTTCAAATGGCTTTGAAAAAGAAAAGGAGCTTGTGTACATAATACGTATTGGTGTGATTAACAGTTACTCCATATTTTCTTAGCTTAAGTATATATATGTTTAATATTATTATAAATCACTACTACTTTGCTCCTATTAAATATTTACAGAAGTCATCAAATACTTTACTACAAATAAGACTAAATTTCAAAAAGGCATTTTTGGGCCTCCCTGGTGGCGCAAGGGGTTAAGCACCGCATTATGAAGTAATCTGCAGCGTCTGCAGCATGAGTTCGATCCCTGGCCAGCCAGGGAGAAACTCACATGGTGCTACAGACCTCTCCTGTCTCACCCGCTGCTCCTCTCAGCAGTGTATTTCAGTGGATCTGCCTGTTCTGCCCCCCCACTCTGTCTTTGGTGAATCCTCTCAACCCCCGCATCTCTGGCCTGTACCCCTGCTCTTGTATGCATCTTAAAAAAAGGCATTTTTATAGCCCACACCCCTAATGACTTTAAATGACTAACATAATAGTTGCCTGAGAAAAAGATTAATTATGACAACCAAAATTGACAAAAGAGTTCAGAAACAAAGTATCTGAGAAGAATGTATACTATTTGTGTTTTTATTACTAAAATACAGAAAATTTTTTAAACTAGAAAATAAGAGTTGAAGCATATACACATCTCAGGGTGTGAAACTACTAAAATTAATTTTTTTAAACAAATGGCAAATCAATGAAATTTAAGATGTTTCTTACTACCTTTTGTAATTGACTTTTAACTTCAACGAATTGTACTCAGAATGTGGGTAAGTATTCTTTGAAATTTGTTGAGAATATTCTAGAATTTAGTACATGTACAATTTTTGCCAACATTTCATGTATCATTAAGTATGAATCTGAATTGTGTGCACACTTCCATTATGTTCATTAAATATTTTGTTTTAAAAAATCCAAAGGAAAGCAAATGGTGAGAATGTAGAAGCTAAAACTATAAAGATAAAAATAGCCCCCAAAACTGATTGTTTTAGAGCATGAATAAAAGAACCGCTGTGCAAGCCTGATCACTAAATAAATTATTTGATATCCAGAACAAAAATGAAGCTGTAATACAGTAGAGATGAATTATAGCATGAATTAGATCTACAGTGAACCAAAAAATTCTAAAACAGATTTTTTTCTATGAATAGGGGAGAAAATCCCTAAATATCACAAAAACCATAGAAAATTACAATTTTAAGAAGTCCCAGGACAAATGACCTTGTAGTTTAACTTAATTGGTTTTCAATGTATAAAGATTTCAAATTATAAGACACGAAGATGAAAACCTTCATCCACCTTAAAACTTAAAAATTGGCCAAAAGCCAGAAAAACACTATCAACAAAAACTGTGCCCATTTCCTACATGTGCAAGTTTTCTAAATGAAACATTAGCATATTCAATCTATATACCATGAGGAGCTACTTACTCCACTCTAAAAAAACCTCTAATGTGGAATATTATCAGATTAAAAACAGAAGGACCATGAAATCACAACCTTTAAATGAGGGCCTCCTTGGTTGCGCAAAGGGTTAAGACACAACCTATGAAGCTGTCCGCAGCCTCTGAAGCATAAGCTGGATCCCCCAGAGAGCCAGGCGGAACCCACATGGAGCAGCAGACCTCTCCTGACTTGCTGGCTGCTCCACTCAGCAGTTACATTGGTCAATCTGCCTGTTCTGTTCCCCACTCCGTCTCTGGTGAATTCTCTCACCCCCCGACACCTCTGGCCTGTAACCCAGCTTTGTATGCATAAATAAATCAATCTTAAAAAAAAAAAGTAAATGAAATTCCATAGCTTTGCTATTTAACAATGCCAAACAATATGGAAAAATAGCTAAAATACAGATCACTTAGACTAATAGCAAAAATAATGGTCAATGTACTAAAGAAATAACAGCTCAGAGGGCCTCCCTGGTGTCACAAGGGTTAAAGTCTCAGTGTTATCAATCTATTGCCAGCCACTGTGACATGTGTTGCCTGCTGTTCCCCTCAACAGAGTATTTCAGTAGATCTGATGCCCATTGATGTTTCAGATTATTTGGAAAAGGATGCTTTTAGAGGCAGCTCTCCTCCAAGGCTGCCTGCTGGGAACTATGCAGGCCTCTCTTTTAACGAACTTGTCACTTTCATGTGGTATTGGTGTAAATGGATAAGAATCTTACCTTATACCCCCATCAAATGTACTGAGAATTTTAGATATAAATAGGAAAAACCTAGAATTTAGATGTTTATGGCTAAAGTTCACGTTAAAATTGAAAAGAAGCAAAGAACTACAATAAGTAGATTTGATAATATAAACACTTAAAATGCAAATATAAAAAGATAACAAAGTCAAAGGACAAATTACAAAATAGGAATGGTTAATGTGTTGGTAAGTCAACAATTTATTCAAATAGCCATCAAAAGTATTAACTAAAACAGCAAATAAATTAGGCAATTCTTGGCCAAATTCACAGAAATTCAAGAAAATGACTACCTTAAGTTCTGGCAAAGATGCAGAGAAAATTTAGCACTTTTGTATATTGTTTTGTTATCTGCTAGTAGTACCTGCTGAAACTTTGGAGAAAATGTAACCATCAACAGGGAAATGGTGGAATGCTTTAATAGTATATCCATACCATGAAATGTAATACCCAAACACATACACATTGACATGAACCACTAAGTATACAGAATACCATTTTTTTTTAAAAAGATTTATTTACACAAGCACTAGGTACAGTCAGAAGCGCGGGAGGGTGAGAGTATTCACCAGAGCCAGAGTGGGGAGCAGAACAGGCAGAAATATGAAATACACTGCTGAGGCGAGCAGCCGGCATGGCAGGAGAGATCTGACATGCCATGTGGGACCCTCGCCTTTGGCACGGGATCTCACCGGCGCTGCAGAGGTTGCTGGCAGCTTCGCAGCCCAGCGCTCAATTGATGAGCCACCAGGGAGGCCCTGGAATACCATTTTTTTATATCTCTGTAGCAATTTATATGCATGTCTGTTTATAGAAGGCCTGGAAGGATACATTAAACAATTGATATCCTTTCTAGTGTGCAGGTTGACAAAGTTATGAGTGGCAAACAAACTTTTAGATACTTTTGCATTTGTTTTGAGGATTTTTTTAAAGATTTATGTATGCCTACAAGAACCAGGGTACAGGCCAGATGTGCAAGAGGGTGATTCACCAGAGACAGAGCAGGGAACAGAACAGGCAGATTGACTGAAATATACTGCTGAGGGGAACAGCGGGTGAGACAGGAGAGGTCTGCCGCACCATCTGGGTATCTCTGCGGCCAGCTGGGATCAAACCCATGCTGCAGAGGCTGCTTCACAGTGCTGTGCTCAACCACCTGTGCGACCAGGGGAGGCCCCATTTTATTTTCTTAACCAACAAAAAGTTAACTAAGTTTTGAATATAGAATTTTTTTCTAGTGAAAAAGTTGGTAATAGCTAAAGGTGAAAATTAGTGGCAACAACGCATTTGGAATTATGGCAGCAAGCACCAAGAGAAATGAAACAGGCAGCATTAGGGATCAAGTGGTAGACATTTACTAAGTAGAACTAAGCAGCAGATTCTCCAAAATGACTGGGCTAATAGGCAATATGCCCTATGGGAATAAGTGTTTTTAGTGTGTTCACCTCAATCATTAATACCAAGATACATACAACAAGAAACAAGAGCCAAATACATAAGCAACAGTTATATACATTTGTTGCATTCCCAGGTAAACTGAAAGCATTTTTTAGATCCCCCCACCATACCTTTAAGATAACTTTTAGATTTATTCTAGAGTAGGAAGTAGCCATGAGTAAAGGTATAGGTAAAAAGGACCACAAACTTTATTAAAAGTAAATGAACGTAATATGTACAGATAGCACATGGTGCCAATTTTATTTGCAGATATAGTACTCCCAAGTCAAGTTAACATATAGTACTCCCAAGTCAAGTCACAAGTTACACTTTTGCTACAGCTTTAGCTAAATCTTGAACTATTACAGAATTCAACTGTGCCAGAGTGCTGACTTTGGCATGCTTAGATGTCGCATACTTGTTCTTAATTGTCTGAAAGAGAAAGGCATACTAATTAATGGAAAAAAAACATAAGATCTAATTATATTCACTTAAAATATCAACTTAATAATATACGCATTTGCAGGCAAAAGCCAATTATTTTCACCTTTTCCAACATTCTACAGTACACAGCTGACTGACTTACCATGTGCTTTGTAAGTCCACGATTCACCATGACTATATTCTTAGCCAGGTGCTGCATCACAGGAAGAAGGGATTCTTCAGTGTATGACAGGTAGTGTTGTAGAGTTGGTGTCTAAAAACAAACGTTAATGTTAAAAATGCTCATTAACAATAGTTTTCATAAAATTCCTCGATGTTATTCAATAGGGTAGGGAGCTAAATTATGGATGACTCACTATAATTCAACTTCAAGACAAATTGAACTTAAGACTCTCTTCTATCCCAGGTCCTCTTTTTTCCTTGTTTCTCTGGATCCCCTGCTTAAACCTATTATAAACTAATGCTCAAACCTAATTGCACTATAGTAATTGCTCATTTGTCTACCCCAAAGCTAGAATCTTAAGTTACCTGAGGCAAACTCTCTCATTCAGTTTCATGCCTCAGTAGCACACGATAGGTAAGAGAATTGGTTAAACCCATGAATATGAATGAACTTCTAAAGATGTTATTTGAGTAATACGGGTGTCTCCAACTATGAGGACTAGCAGTTGCTGTTTTCTCAAAGCAGTATTCAAAGATGAAATTAGGTAATCAAATATAAACACTTTATGCTGAAAGACATCACAATTAAGATACCATTTTTAATCATTCACTGGCTAGATTCCATATTTAGGAGACATTTAAATTGTAATTTAATGAAAAAAAGTTCTGTAATCAGGCAAACACATTTTATAATGTAAAAGCTTATGGTGACCTATTCCTGTGTGACAGAGCTTACCCATTCACCATTGTCAAGAATTTTCAGAGCTAAGCAAAAAGCTCCTGCTGCAATTTGAGAAGGAGGAAAGTGCACCATATCGTAATCCAACATAGTTAATTCCATCAGGTATTTGGCCAAAGTATGTTGCTCAACATCAACCTGGAAGAAAATCCGCAGGTCACTGAGCTACTTTCAGAAAATTCCTTATTGGCAATAAGCAGTATAGTATGCCTATATTTAAACAAATGTTTGACTACTAACTCTCTAATGCAATTCCCCATGGGAAGACTTAAAAATAATATTAATATGCAACTTGACTAAAAACAACAATTATTTTTATACTTCCTCATGTGGTTAGCTAGTTAAATTTGATTGGTTTGGCCAGCAGTATTCCTTAAATGTACCATACCGAAAGTTTCTCAAGAAATCTATACCTCTCCAATCTTAGAAGCTCTCCGAAGGAAGTGCAGAGGCAGAGGGCGACCCAAGCCAAAATTTAAAGCTCTTAAAATCTTCATTTCCATCTGTCTAATTTGGTGCTTAGTGTAAGTGTTGTCAGTCACAAAGGCAAAATCTCCAATTTCTGGAGGGTACATTTCTTCGTATTTGCTTGCTATAAACATGGCAGTAACACCAACCAGCTGCAGCATCTTCTTGGGTACACAATTATTCTGCAATGTAAATTTCAATTGTACGAGAATAAGTAATATGTATTTGATAAAGCATACATAAGAGCACTGAAGGAGGGGGGAAGGCACTTCCATAGCAAAATCTCAATTTATGATACCCTATCCTCTAAGACAGATTTTCAGCTAGGACCCTAGAAGTGAGAATCATCAATTACTGAATTATGCTCACCTGCATGAACCGATCAATAATGGAAACAGTCATGTACATAGTCTCCTGCAGCAACCTGAATTTCATCTGAACCTGTACCAGCCAGTCAATTAGGATGGCTCTCATGTTTCCAGTGACTTCACGACCTAGTAGGTATTTGGTCTAATGGCTTGCTCCTCCTGCAAAAGAAATGTTGATTATTCTTTGCAGCAAGACTCCATGTCACATTTCTGACCAGAAATAACAGTCCCTACACAATAGCTCTGCAGCATTTATGATCAACCAATTCTTAAATCCATACATATTCCTATGTTCACTACAAACAGCTTCATCACTGAGGAGAAAAAGAAAGCAAGCATTAAACAGAACAGTGTGACAGGTGTTTCATATTGGCAGAACTCACCAGAGCTCCTGCTGGCACACACCCTATTTCCACTTGCTCCAATAAAGACACCTTATGATCATCTCAAATCTTTTCAGTTAAGACTCTAAGCCCAAACCCTGTGGTTTTATGAAGCAGAGAAAACAGCAGCAGCCGCCAGACATCCTTGCCACATTCCTGCTCCAAGGTACAAATCCTAAAAACACCATAGCTAAGAACCATTAAGGACCAGCACATACATACACTCTTCTGAAGTTAGAACACAAATTTAAAAAAGCACCAGAAAGGGAGTGAAACCCTAAGCTGACTAGTGCTGCTAGCAAGAAGTCTGATTTGCAGGATAATCCTATAGAAAAATGAAGATGCCTGAAAGAACCAGGCAAGACACTGAAGATGTTAACTGATAATGCTGAGGTATGAATGCATTATAAACAAACAATTGGGTAAATTTGATAATAACTACATAGTTTGTTGTTAGCTTCTAGTAAATTTCAGAAATGGGATTAAATGGAAGAAAACCAACACCTTACGTTTTGAGTGTTCTCTAAGACACAAGGAATTATTCCCTTGATGTCACATAGAAATCATCCATATTGACCCACAATGCCTTGTGATGGAGGTGAATATAATTTTTCAGCATTTTCTCCACTACTATCTACCTCCTGGGTATTATCCTCCTTAAACCCAAACTGTGGTGGATATAAACACATCATTCAATCTGTGGACTTTCTATTAGAAAGAGCCATGGTAGTACCATCTCTCACTTTGAAAGCTTATTTGGAGGTTCTAACAGGGGAGCACAACTACTATATACCCTTAACTGAAGAAGGGTCCTCTCTATTCAGGGAAGGTAATTCTCTTCTACCGAGCTCTTAGCTTTGAGAGGGACACACATGGAGTGGTGAGGGAGGAAGGGGACACCCACCCAATCAACCCTGGATATCAATGGGGTGACAGATGTCGCAGCCAGATGGCTCTCACATCCCCGAATCTCACTTTGAATGTTCCCTTTACTAAAGGACAAAGACTTTACTATTTGTCATGTGACTTTGTTTTTGGTAATCAATGAAGGAGAATTTAAAAGTGGAAAGCTGCTCATGTCCTACTTGAATTATAAACTGTGAATGGAAAATATTCTTAGTAACGCCAGATGCAGTTTAGACAAAAACAAGACTCAAGCAGTAACACTGACCTCAAGTTGTCTCAGATAAGCATAGATATCTTTCACATATTCACTACAAAGGTTTGGATCAGCTCCATCTTCTGCATCCACATCATTTACTGCAAGAATTACATCAGAGAAAGCCTGACACAGATACTCTTCTGCAGGGGCACATCCAGATGTTTCCATTGGACTTGGAGAGGGAGTATCAACCTTGAAAACAGAGCGATATCTCAAAACAACAGCAAAGTGGAATGTTCACTGTAGTTTGGAAGTGAAGATGAGATCAATGATACCAACTCAAGAGACTATCTGCTGAAAAGACCACAAAGGAAAAGTACCTTCTTGTCCAATTTATTTTATTTCTCTTCAGGAAATGATTAATATGAAAGTGAAATGTCAACTTAAAGTGAGCCAGTTTGAATTCAACAGAACCGAAGCACTCACAGATAAAAAACGAAGCAAATACATTTCTATTCAAGCTGTTCTAAAGGAAACGCTAGGTAATGAATCTGTCAGCATCATGTAAATTTAATTCAATTGAATGAAAGTCAGTCTTTAGTCTTTATTTCAAAGTATGCACTTCTCACCGCTCAGGAAAACATAAGTTCTGTCCTGATTTCTAAACACTGACTTATTTATTTTTTAAAGATTTATTTATACAAGAACTGGGGTACAGGCCAGATGCGCGGGCAGTTGAGAGGATTCACCTGAGACAGAGTGGGGGACAGAACAGGCAGAATGATGACGCCATGTGGGACCCTTGCTGGCTGGCCGGGATCAAACTGGTGCTATAGAGGCTGCAGGCAGCTTCACAGTGTGGCGCTCAACCACCTGCGCCACCAGGGGAGGCCCTAAACACTGACTTTGTTATCATTCATTATATCCTGCAAGATGCTCCCTTTACCTTAATGTTCAAACATTTTCTGAACATCTTCAAGTCAAGCTCTATGCCAGGCACTGGCTTTATGGTGTCCTCAAGGGGCCTTGCATTTAAAAGAGATAATAAATGAAGTAAGGCCATTAATTCTAGAAACAATGGCAGGTATGCATGAAGTTAAAGTTTTAGTAGTTGATGATTGAGCTGTTTTAAAGGATGAAAAGATTATTAGCTAAACATAAGAGAAGGTGGGGATAATGGCATTCTGAATAAAAGGGGATACAAAGGCAAGAATTAGTATAGGGCTTTTTAGGGAAATCTCAGGTAGTTTGATATGGCTGATTAAAGACTGCACGTAGTACTGGTTTCATGAGTTATGTCCAGGTCAATGCTAAACACCAGCTTCAAATCTCTTATCCTTATGTAAAAAATCCTTACGTATCTTTGTTCTTGAGTGAATGACTTTTATAACCAGTTTTAACAAAACTATTAAAATTAGAGGTTCAGAATACATGTCATTCCAATTTTAGCAAAATAGCCTCTTCCAGATGACCTGTTTTTCCTTCACAGGGTTAAATACACTTGTATACCTGATATTTAATAAAAAGTAGTGTTTTGAGGCTGTTAACTCATCTCACCTGCTGTTAGAAGAGCTACATTTCCTTTCTCCTTTTACATCTTCATATTTTCCAATATTATAGGTTTACTATTCAGTGGTCACGTTAGAGTTAAAAACTCAAAGAGAACAAACTGTTTCAGTTAAATTCTAGGTAGAGATAGCTTATACCAAAGACAACTAAATCTTTATTTAAAGCAGTTACTAATCAACACCATTAGACAAAGGGGACAAATTAAAAGCATAGGTTCCAAAGTCAGACAACTTGGGTTTGAAACAATGTACCACTTATTAGATACGTGACTTTAGAAAAAATACTTCTCTAAGCCATTATCTAAAAGGTGGAGGAATAATACTAGCTAAAAAGAGTGTATATAAGGGCTCCCTGGTGGCGCAAGGGGTTAAGAAGCAACCTATGATGCTCTCTCCAGCACTGCAACACAAGTTCGAACCCCAGCCAGGGAGCTACCCACATGGTGCAGACCTCTCCTGACTCGCCTTCTGCTCCCCTCAGCAGTGTATTTCAGTCAATCTGCCTGTTATGTTCCCCACTCTGTCTCTGGTGAATCCTCTCACCTCCCCAGCTCCTCTGGCCTATACCCCAGTTCTTGTATGCATAAATAAAGAAATCTTTAAAAAAAAAAAAGTGTCTGTAAATACCATGGGATTTAATGCAGGTAAAAGTGCTGGGCAGTGCCTGCCGCATGGCAAAGCAAACAATGTTCTATTATTACTATTTATTCAAATGTTATTCTATGCATCAAAGAAATGATGGAAGGAAATAGTTATAATAGCCTCTAAAAGGATAAATAAATTTACCAAAATAGGCTCAGGAGAAAGTTTTTCTTCTTTAACAGGCTCAGATTCCAGTTCAGGATGAGGCTCAGATTCCGGCTCTGGTTCCACCACAGGCACAGGTGCCTTTTCCAGAGGTTTTGGTAGTTTTTTAGCCATCACTTTCCCAGCCGCTAAAGTTTTTGCTTCCTGTAGATGAAAGGGAGAATGGAATGTTTCTCCATGAAGGGTCACTGTTGACAGTGAACGCTTAAAGACAAGTTGGCTCAGGATGATAATTACCTTTTTCAGAGGCATTTTGCCCTGGGGCTGTTCACTGACTTTGTTTCCGATATCTCCAAGGGCTGTTCTTGGCCTCAGCCCGGGTTTGGAAGCTGCAGCAGAGGCCACAGGCACACGCTTTGCGCCTGCCATACTGATCTTCGCCTTATTTTCACCATTAATTTTCGTGTTCTGAAATAAGCAAGACCATTTTGAGAGCTGACCCAGCAAGGCTAGAGTAAGCCAAGGGTTAATTGTGGCGAGGTAAGGGAGGCCCCCGGGAGGAAAGCCAGCAGTAAAGGAATTCCCAGGGGAAACAGGGGACACCCCCCCCCCCGACCTTCGCCGCGGCAGTGCCAGTCAGTTTTATCCCATTTGCCAGCATGAGATTGCCAGATTAGTCCCCGCCGGCCCTAAAATACCACGCATTTGCATTTGAAAGGAAATCGAAAAAGCCTTCAATTGCTGGCACCTTCTTTCAGGGAAGGGAGTCACGCAGCCGGTAGCTTCCCCCTGGCCCTCCATCACCTTTTTAAAAAGGTTTCCCGTCGTCCATCCACCTCCCGCCCCCCGCAACATTTATCCCAGGCCGGTGCAGCTCGTTCCCACCTTCCTCCGTTCCCCAAATTCCCTCACCATGGAAGAGCCCCCACCCCCAACCTCACCCCCAAATCGCCTCCCCGGGTCGCTCCAACCCCGGGTCGGGGGGAGGGCGACTACAGCAGGCGAAACAGGGCAAGAGAACACGCAGCGAGCGGGGAAGGCCGCGCTGCCCACGGCCCGCGGCAGCTCACCCTGGTGACCCGCAGCGCCATGGCTTCCTCTCCCCGGGCAGCAGCTCAGCGGCGAGAACAGAGCGGGAGCCCCAGAGCAGCCCAGGACCTGCACCCACAGATCAACAGCCGTTCTCCGCAGCACGCCGGGAGCAGCCGCCTCGCCTTAGGTTTAAACCCCGAACCGCTCCCTCCTTATTGGCCTGTTCGTGGCACTCGCTCCCTTCCCATTGGCGGCTGCCGGTTCCTCGGAGAATGCGTTTCCAGGGCGATCCCGCGACGACATTCGAGAGGGGGCGGGGCAGAGCGAGGCTGCTCCGCGCGACGCGGGGCCGGGACGTCAC